AAAAAAAAAAAAAAAAAAAAAAAAAAAAAAAAAAAAAAAAAAAGTATTTGGAGGAAAACCTAAAAGTAGATATTTTCCAATCTAAGCATATATTGTCCAATCAAAGTACAGTACCATAAATTTAGTCTTTTTTTGGTTTGAATGAAAGAGGTCCGATATTAGGAGGAAACACAGTATGAACCAAGTAGAACATTAAGGAGTTGAAAACACAAATTAGAAATTAAGTGCGTATAACAGTTCGCACGTGATTCTTATTAAGCCATCAATGAGACCTTTTCATATAAAGCATTGATAAGCCCTAATAGTTTCACTGTTGAGCTACTGATAGATATTAGCCTCCCTTCTAATATGACAACCAGCCGTCACTGGAGCTACCAGTACTGGTGACAGGAATGTTTTACAAACAATACAGATAGCATGTCAGTGAAACTTCCTCTGCTTGTCACCTTCCCGAAACCTGCTAATAGCTTCAGCAAATCTGCCACTTAATGTACAAACAGAGAGGACAATGCTGACTTGTTATCTCATATTGAATCCAGTATGGAAATCATATTTGTATAGCATTGCATGCCCTATTAAACACCCTCCTTTGTCTTTTACTTGAGCACTAGATTTTGGAGTGAAACATACTTTCTTTCCTACTGTGAAAGAAACCACAATAGGAAAGAAAGTATATATATTTGTCTGATGACCCACCTTTCACTCTCTATTAATTCACAGGTTCTGCGTAAAGAGGATTGGAAAGGATAACACAAACCTCATCTGAAAATAATATAGAAAGCCACAGGGAGTGAAATATGTGGCAGCTGGAGTGAGTAGATGAAGGCAGAAAATGTAGCACCCATTCTTGGACTATCATCAACCCCACTCATTCTTTTCACCTGGAACTGAAATGTCTCTTGAATTCAACACTGTTTTTCCCAGTCTGATTGGATTTCTCTTTACTGTTGCAATATGCAAATGTTAGGCACATGGGTGGAATGAGGGGTATAAATCTCAGTTTACTCTCAGTCTCAGATTAACCTTTAAATAAATCAATGTTTTATTAATATTTGGGTAGTAAATTGACAACTTTGATATATATGAATGGCAAGAAGGACTGAATTCAGGTACTGTAATTTGAAAGAACATTAATTTCTATTATAATCTGTTGATAAATCACACTGTCTAACAACTCCTAGACAGCTACTGCAAGATACACACCAAGAACACCTCTCACACTCCCCTTCTAGTGTCCCATGATCATTCGAGTCCCTGGCTTTTTGTGTCACTGCATATTTGTAGCTATGATTCCTCCTATCCTGCGATTGCAAATTGATTTGCAATACTTCCTGTCGCTTACCAGCAGGCTGCTGCAAAATGAAATCAAAAAGGCACACGTGCAACCTATCTAGTAATCTGGACTGTTACATAACAGATTACTAGATTAAATTTGATTACAGATTAGATTAAATTTGCTAATCAGATCCTCATTTTAACAGAGTTAAAACCGAGCTGTGGATGGCCAGAAACTATTGTCAGAAGAGGTAAGAGATGCAAGTGTTCATTTTGCTTGTTAAAGTTTGCACTCTATCATGAATCTCCGCCAGAAAATACATATAAAATTCTTCTTCTTCTTCTTCTTTCGGCTTTTCCCTTCAGGGGTCCCTACAGCGAATCATCACTCTCCACCTATCCCTATCTTCTGCATCCTCAACACTTGCACCCACTAGCTTCATATCCTCATTTATTACCTCCATATACCTCCTCTTTGGCCTTCCTCTTCGCCTCCTGCCTGGCAGCTCCATGTCCAACATTCTCCTACCAATATACTCACTCTCCCTCCTCTGAACATGTCCAAACCATC